CGGCGGTGTTCTCCTCCTTCTTTGCCTCCATGCCGAGACTGAAATCACAGGCGACATGGTTACACAAGAGAGAAATTGTTTGTACATTGTGTGACTCGTAAGCGTTGGCTTTTAGCAAGGGTTGTATCTGCCTTATGAACATGCTCTTCCTTTCTGCGCCTAACATGTTCCGTTAGTCAAGACTAGAAAGTCAAACTAAGGTCTCTTCCTTGGCATATTATTCCCTTCAGCAGTATCAGTTTATTGAGGGAAAGAGAGGCGAACGCCTTTGAACTCCCTGTTGGTAGAAAGATGATAGGGAATAAATGGATACAAAGAAAAATTTAAAAATTACGTCAATTACATGTTCCGGGAAGACACCAGAGTCAAATCGTAACAAAATATGGCAAAAAATATGAATACTCGCTAATCGCCAGTAGTATAATTTTATGCAGTGTAGTGTGATACAGTATAATGTGATGCAGTAGTTTTACATGGTTTGTATTTGTGCTCGATGCATGTCCAGTCTACTCTTAAATAAATTAACACAAGTTGAGAGGATTCGTATTCTTAACTTATATAGTAATATCACTCTTGTAATCTGTATTGCTTTTAGCTTTATAAACATTACCGTTATTACCATTCTTAGAAGTAGTTACACAATATGGCCAAGAAATGGCGAAATTTTTCTAACGAAATTTGGCATGGTAGTTAAGCATTTATTTGATTATTATTTTGATCCACTGGGTGGATTTAATCCTGGGGAAGCCCTTTAGTTAGGAAAATCGCCCTCTTAGTTAGGTATATTAAGGGAAATGTGCATTATTTTTGACGAAATTGGGAGTAGTCTCATATCGAACGAATATCATATGCTATTAAGTATGACAGAACCAAAATTCTTGTTAATATGCATTGTACTATGGAAGAACTCCAGAATAAGTAAGGCAAATTTAAAACATATCCCTTAGAAAAACTTAGTCCGAATTTGCACAAATGAAAGTGATGTTAATTTGAGGAATTGCATTTATTTCTAAAGACAAGCAACAATTTTAGTTTTAAAAATCATTTTTTGCCAAACTGTGAAGCTTTTCGTCATAAAATTCAAAAAAGTTTTGAACGCATTTCGTTTTACCGCATCAAGTCTTTGAAAGACGTAGGCAAAGCTGTTCACGCAAATACTTAAATAAAACCCAATTTAATTAAATCTAAATCATGTAGAAAGACACTTTTTATACATTATAATTTCCGCTTATGCGTAATGTCGCAACGGAACAGACAGGGGAATAATAAACATGTCAAAAGTGCCATACATATGACATCTGCAAGCTTATAACAAAACCTTGAAGTAATTCAATATGTCGGAAAATAATCCAATATAAAGAGAAAAGTGGGTTCCTTCATTTCCAGACAAAGTGAATCAAGTTGCTTCAGGTAAATTTTAAAAAAAATTGTCAAAAATCTCCATTTTCATTTTGACATTACCTTGGAAAAAGGTAATATGCACAGAATTTCATCAGCTGAATAGCTAAGTAAAGTACTTATTAAGGGAGTAAACTATTATAAAGATTTTTATGAATCTTAGGAATAATAGTATCAGACTTTTGTCGCGGACATTATTTTGCTCGGAAACTCTTTTGACTGTTTAAAGGAATTTGATCATATAGCCCACATGGCCATCTTCATACGAACAGATATCAAAAAAATTCATTTCCTCGGTAAATCAATTTAATCGATGCTATTTTAAAGCTTTTGATATAATCATGGAACGAAATCTTGATTTATGCACAAAAGCTTGAAGACACTGAAAACGCTGGAAAATTAATCAACATTTAAAGGTTCATTTGTAAGTAATTGCAATTATTACTTATCATTATCACTTAAAATTAATCCTTGGACCAACCTGCTGTGGAGCATACGGTAGGCATAATCAAAACCGAAGGCCGCACTGCCAAGCTAGCGCTCGTGCTATCAATATGGTAAATAATTACACAGCGTATACTACTGACAGGTTCTGAATATAACAAGGAATCTAAAACGAATGTGCCGGTCTGATGATAGCGACCAGAAGCTAGCGGAGGTTATCCTGCTACCACCCCCTAATCACCCCCAGTGTCCTGTGAGTTATGAGGTAGATAGTGTCTTTTTTGTTGAACAACCACAGAAGCATGATTGGTGGGCTCACAGAAGAGACCGTTTGTGAATATCACGGGGGTAGGGCTTTTATG